CCTAGAGAAACTCGGCAAAAACTTGAAATTTCTTCTTCTTCTCTTGTTAAATAACAAGCATAGAACCCAGAAATCCTTCCCCCATCTGCAAAATTTCGGATCTGCTCTGCTCTGCTCTGCTACTTCCGGCTGCTGCTCTGCTGTATGGGGGTGCGAATTGCTCTGGTTTTTTGGTAAGATTCAGCCAAGAAATCATCTCTTTAACCTTGATTTAGGCTGGGTTTACTTTAATTGCTTTTATTTCCTCCAATTTTTTGGTAGATTTCCGTGAGTTTCCCTGCATATCCCGCCGGCCCTTCCCCCAAACTGCAGTCCTGTTTTTGCTGGGGAAATTTTGGTATGTTGACAGCTCCTCCAAGCTTGAATTTCATCAATTGATTGCTGCCTATGTTGTCCGAATTTTGCTGGAAAAATGGGAGGAATTCCAGTAGCTTTAGGACAAAATTTAAGCATTAATTCAAATGGAATTTATGTGATTGAGTGTTAATTGATTGCTGTGATGTTTTGTGTGAAAATCCCGTGAGATTAGTTATGGTTTTGCTAATTTTTGGAAGTTCCAGTACTGTTCACGGCGTGATCCATGTTCACGGTCTTGTTCATGGTACTGTTCACAAGCACTGTTCACACACAGAGGGTTAAGAATTAACGGGGATTTAAATGTTTAGTTTGTAATATAAGAATAAATTTGGAGATGTCCCATCATGTGGAGATTGATAGAAATAGCACCGTGATTAGGAGTAGTGCTAATGATGATTTCACTTTGAAATTGTGGTAGTTAGGTATTAATTCTTGGATATTTTGATTAGGTTACTGATCGTTCTGTCAGTTTAGCACTGAGATCGAGTCTTCGGTTTTATGCGAGTGAGGTAAGTAAATTATGGTAATGCCTTTCGATTTAAAAGCATGTTTGTTTTTGAGATTGTGGCAAGGTTTAAATTGATTTTATCAGCATCTGAGTGTGATTAAACTGAAATGAAAATTGTAATGATTTTTATGAAAATCATTGTTTTTTTGGAATTGAGCATGATTGGAATGAAAATGAGAATTTCATTGTTTTTCTGAAGTTGAGCATGCCCACTGAAATTTTTCGGTTTATTTCTGAAATTTTGAGATTTGATTGTGAATTATGGATTTCGATTGTGAATTACAGATTTCTTTTGTAAATCCTGCATGGTTTTGTCTTTGATATGGTAATGTATTATTGTGCCCGCTAGTAGGAGGTTTATAAACGCTAGCACATGTCGACATGTTTACTGATATGACCGGTCCATTATGTAATCCTGCCAATGGGATAATACATTGGTAATTACTGACACCTGTCAGTGGGAGTTTGTTAAACACTGGTACTGTTACTGACACCTGCTAGTGGGAGTTTGTTAAACACTGGTACTTCTGTAACCCTGCCAATGGGGTTAAACATTGGTTATTACTGACGCTTGCCAGTGGGAGTTGTTAAACACTGGTACTACTACTGTGCTCGCCAGTGGGAGGTTTATAAACGCTGGCCATGACCTATAAATGAGACTACTACTGAAGTTTCTTTTGCATTAACGGTTGTCATTAAACACTTTATTATTGAACTGAATCTGATTCTACATTGAACGTTTTGTTATGTTAAACTGTTTATCAGGCATGCTAAAATTTTACCCAAGGGCTATCCATATTTACTTACTGAGTTATCT